CCACACAATTACCAAAACTTGGTATCTTAAAAGTGTTTTTTGAAGAGCAATACGTTTTTAATTTTAATGAATTTAATTTATCAATTTCTTCTTTTAGACTTTCAGCTTTTTTTGGGGGGGTGGTGGTGGTACATTCTAATTACACAAACTCAAAGATCACAAAGATTTACCAAATCCATAATCATAAAGACTTTCTTCTAGGTTTTCTTCCAAAATTAAAAAAAAAAATAGCTGTTATATTTAGATTTACGTCTATATCAACTTCAAGAACATTTTTATGAGGGGTCTGAGTTAAGGGCTGAGGGTACACATTTTGGTAATGTCCGGGTTATCATAACTTACAGAGGAAGGAGTGGTGGGGAGTCCCTGGTTGCTGCTAACTAACCTACAACGCACAGGAGAGTTCACCTTTTGACCATCTTCTCTTTCTCAACAAAGAATTATCTGGCTCAAATGTCAATTGTGCCAAGGTTGCAAATGCTGTTTGAGGTCATAGTAAGGACTGGCTTACAGAGAGTGAACTAGATTGACACTGAAATGTTTTGAGCCTAACCGGTTTGGCTCAGTGGATAGAGTGTCGGCCTGCGGACTCAAGGGTCCCAAGTTCGATTCCAGTCAATGGCATGTACCTTGGTTGCGGGCACATCCCCAGTAGGGGGTGTGCAGGAGGCAGCTGATGGATGTTTCTCTCTCATCGATGTCTCTTACTCTCTATCCCTCTCCCTTCCTCTCTGTAAAAAACTAATAAAATATATTTTGAGCAGAGAAATGATCTAATTTAAGCTTTTAAAAAGATCATGTGGCTGTTTGTTGTGAACAGACTGAAGGGGTTGACGGGTAGGAACTAGGATAGAATTTACGGAGGTACTACAATTATCCAGGAAAGAAAAGATGGTTTGGACCAGGATGATAGCAGTAGGGATGGTGAGAAGTGATGGATTCTAGATCTATTTTGAAGGTTGAGCTAACAGGACTTACTAACTGAATGTCTGTGTCCTCCTAAAATTCCTATGTTGAAACCTAATCCGCAGTGTGATTTTTAAGAAACGTCTCTTTATGCAATCTTTCATTTGGTGACAGTCTGAGAGATGTAGGTAGTCCTAAAACCCATTCTATCAAAGTCATTAAAGGACTTTGATTTTTCCTTTCAGTATTTGCATCCCAAGCACTTACTGATTCCTACAGAGGAAGTTGATGTATTGCTTAATAATTGCTTTCTGAGCATTTGCTTTGTCTTCCCTGAAATATTATAAGCTTACTAGGAGTCATTATGTGTTAGAAACCACTTAACACAATTGTCTCAATTACGGTAATAGTCTTATAACTATAACCTGACGAAGACCTTCTCCTTGACCAAACTCTGATCAGGCTTCCCTGAACTCTTTTTGGACTTCCATGTTCTCTCTACAATTGTCCAATTTTAGCACACATACTGTTAAGTCAGTTTAGCCAGAATCCCCCATCCTCCGTAACTGATCAGACCCTAAATCTAATGGAGTTCCTCATCCCCATGACCCCTGAGATGTCTGATCACCCTGGCCTGCCACAGAATCCTGTTAGCTCAGTTTAGCCAGAATTCTCCCCTTACTCCTGCTGTTCCCTCTTAGTAATATCCTATCCACTGCTTCTTGGCTGTAAATTCCCAGTTTGGGTTGTATTTGGAATTGAGCGTAGTTCTTTCCCCTATTGCAACTGTTTGAATAAAACCTTCCTTACAATTTAACGTCAGACAATTTTTCTTTAACAAACCTTATAATCCAAATAATAGGGTTATTTCCATTTCGCACACAACAAAATTGTAGTTTGTAAAGTAATTACATTTAATCAAGATTATCCAATTTGTAAATGGGGCGTTATTTATAATAATCAAGATATGGAAGCAACCCAATTGCCCATCAATAGACAACAGGATAAAAAGTGGTGGTACATATACACACTGGAGTATTATTCCGCCATTACAAGAAAAAAAAGAAATGTTAACCATTTGTGATAGCATGGATGGACCTAGAGGGTATTATGCTAAGTGAAATAAGTCAGACAGAGAAAGACAAATACCACATGATTTCATTTATATGTGGAATCTAAAGAACAAAATAAACGAACAAAATTAGAAACAGGCTCATAAAGAACAGACTGACAGTTGCCAGAGGGTACGGGGGTAAGGGGATGGGTGAAAAATAGGTGACGGGGATTAAGACATACAAATTGGTGGTTACAGAACAGTCACAGGGATGGAAAGCACAGCACAGGGAATACAGCCAATAATATTGTAATAACTATATTGCCGGATGGGTACTGGGAACATCTAGGGCAGTGATGGCGAACCTTTTGAGCTCGGCATGTCAGCATTTTGAAAAACCCTAACTTAACTCTGGTGCCGTGTCACATATAGAAATTTTTTGATATTTGCAACCATAGTAAAACAAAGACTTATATTTTTGATATTTATTTTATATATTTAAATGCCATTTAACAAAGAAAAATCAACCAAAAGATGAGTTCGCGTGTCACCTCTGACACGCGTGTCATAGGTTCGCCATCACTGATCTAGGGGAATACTTTGTAAAGTAAGTGACTGTCAAACCACTACACTGTACACCTGAACCTAATACAAACTAATATTAAATATAAACTGTAATTGAAAAATAAAGTAAAACCAAGATTATCCAACTTGTAAATCGGTCTTGAGCCAATGTACCTCTTAGAGCCTAAAGGCTGTGTTCCAGGCCCTCCTTCTCGCCCCAGGCCTCCTGCTCCCGAGGGCCAGCTACTCTGTTAGTTTTCTGGGAAATGCTTGGTCAGACTTGGTGACTGAGTTGGAAGTTCTAGTTGCTTAGATCATGGAACAAGAGACCTCAACTCCCACCTACACAAATGTGCGTCCCTGGATGTTCACCGGGAACTGATGGCTGATCTTCCAGGCTGGCGGGCGAGGTGCAAGGTGTCAGCCCAGCTCCCGTTCGG